CCAGCCACTGCACTCCAGTCTGGGTGACAGAGTGAGACTCCGACTCAAAAAAAAAAGATTCAGCAGGGCATCGCTGAAACTCCCGAGTATAAAGCGTGTACTTTCCTGGGAGACGGACCACAGAGTTTCCACATTGAGCCAAACTGATGTCAGGCTCTGACGTCATGCTAGCGAGTCCCAGTGGGGTTTCCAAACTCACCCACAGACCTGCCCTTAGGCCTGCCCAGGAGGCCTGTTCTGAGGGACATGCCCTCTCAGCCCATCCTCCCTTACCTGAGGGAGGCCAGCGCCCACCACCGCACCACTGTGGATCATGGGGCCTTCCTTCCCCACAAAGAGTCCTGAAAACAGTGAAAAAGGGAAGACATCATCAGCATAGAAAGGCCTCTGGGTCAGGAGACATTTGCTGCAAGAACCTTTCTTGTGAGGATTAAACAGAGATGATCGTATGACTTATAACAGTGAGTCAGATCCCTGTCAGACAAGCTCTGCTTAAGTCTTGCTGTACTCTTCACATTCTAAATTGGGGGTCAACAAACTACAGCCCATGGGCCAAGACTGGCTCCCTAACTTTGTACAGTCCAGAGAACTAGCAATGGTTTTTCTGTTCGTAAATGGATACATTTAGATAGTTACATAAGTACCCACACAGTATCTTTGATTTTGCCTGTTGGCCCACAAAGCCTAAAATATCTACTGTCCATCTATTCATACAAAAAGCTTGCTGACTGCTAAAAGCAAATTCCACAAATTAATTAGACAAATTAATTAGGTTGCTTCAAAATGCAGTGGTGTGTTTGTCAGGAATCTCTGTATGGTAAAATATAAGGGTTTGTGTTTAAAAAATAATAATCCAGCCATGTGCGGTGGCTCAAACCTGTAATCCCAGAACTTTGGGAGGCCGAGGTAAGAGGACTGCCTGAGCCCAGGGATTCGAGACCAGCCTGGACAACTTGGCAAGACTTCATCTCTACAATAAATCAAAAAAACCAGCTGGGCGTGGTAGTGCGTGCTTATAGTTGCAGCTACTTGGAAGGCCGTGGCAAAAGGTTCACCTGAGCCCAGCAGGTTGACACCGAGGTGGCCGTGAACGTGCCACTGCACTCCAGCCTGGGCAATGAAGACTCCAACTTAAATAATAATAATAATAACAACAACAACAACAACAACAACTCAGCAACAAAAAGCACAGATGTTGTCTGCTGGAGGGTAGGCTGTGGACTTCAAATCTAATTAATGTATATACATCGTATTTGTCATCTTCACCCCTTGCACACTTGAAGGACACGGGTGAGAAAGACCCTCCTTACCTCCAGCCACGCTGAACAGCACTCCAAAGGCCTTGCAGAGCAGGGTCCGCAGGCGGACGATTCCAGGCACCTTCACGCCATTCAGGTAGCATTTGATCTCGGGGATCCCGGAACCTGCTGCCACTGGCTGGGGGGCAGAGCAGGCATACCCATCAACTCAAAAGCCACTGGCTCTCCAGCTGCCCGTAACAACCCAGGCAGCTGCAGAAAGACAGCTGGCCTCCATGAACAGATTGGCGTCACTTGGAGGGCTGCTAGGTCTCAGGAGGTCTAAGGGGCAACAGGTGGACTTGCATGTCTGTGAGTCAACACCACCTGGGGAGCCCCCACAGCCCATGCAAGCACCCCACTCCCAGAGATTCTCACTCCATCTGAGTTGAGGACCTCAGCATGATTATTTTTAAAAGCTCTTGCTGGTCTGGGCTTGGTGGCTCAGTCTGTAATCCCAGCACTTTGGGAGGCCGAGGCGAGTGGACTGCCTGAACCCGCGGGTTCGAGACCCACCCAGGCAACTTGGCAAGACCTCGTCTGTACAATAAATCAAAAATTAGCCGGGCATGGTAGCGCGCGCCTGTAGTTCCAGCTACTTGGAAGGCTGAGACGGAAGGATTGCTGGAGCCCAGCAGGTCGAGGCTGCAGTGGCCAGGAGCGTGCCACCGCACTCCAGTCTGGGTGACAGACTTCAACTCAAAAAAATAAAAATAAAAATAAGAGCTCTTGCGGGGCATGGTGATTCACACCTGTAATCTCAGCACTTTGGGAGATGGAGGAGAGAGGATTGCCCAAGCCCAGGGGTTTGACACCAGCCTGGACAACTTGGTGAGACCTCATCTCTACAATAAATTAAAAAATTAGCCGGGCATAGTGGTGCATGCCTGTAGTTCCAGCTACTTGGAAAGCTAAGGTGGAGGGCTCACCTGACCCCAGCAAATCAAGCTGCGGTGGCTGTGAGCATGCCGTTGCACTCCAGCCTGGGCAGTAGAGTGAGACTCTGATGCAAAAAACAAAAATCCTCTAGGGGATTCTAATGTGCTGCCGAGGTTGAGAACCACCATCCTAACCTAGATTTCTCCTCCTTACTCTCACCAGAGGCTGAAACCTTTACTCTCCCCAGACATCTCTAAGTGAACAAGAGGCCACTTTCTACAAGAACTTGTGTCGTTTCCTGACGTGCTGGAAATGGAGGCAGAGAACAGGAGTGCAGGACTCTAGAACCTTGTAAGCAAGCAGGCAAACCCAAGCCCCTCACCTCAATGAGGACAAGAAGGCTTGCCAAGAAGACGAAGGTCAAGTTGAACCCCAGGAGTTCAAGGACAGACAAGGCAAGGCAGCCTTTCTGGCTGCACTCCTCCACCGCTGCAGAAACTGGGTCAAGGAACCATATCCATCAGCCATCACTAGAAAGGGCGGTGCCTTGCCTCTTCGAGGTCATGCTGGCTGCCTCATGCATTTCTTCCTATTCTCCACAGACAGTTTTTTTTGGTCTGAGATATCTTCTACCTTAGGAGCCATTTGAAAATTATGAAATATTTCAAACATTACAAAAAGCAACAAGCACTCATGCCTTTACAGCCCTAGCTTTAGCAAATCTCAACATGCCATATTTGCTCCAGATTTTTTTTTTGAGTCAGAGTCTCCCTCTCACCTAGGCTAGAGGGCAGTGGCATGCTCATGACCACCATAGCCTCAACCTGCTGGACTCAGGGGATCCCTCCATCTTGGCCCTCCAAGTAGCGGGAACTACAGGTGCGTGCCAATATGCCCAGTTAATTTTTTGATTTATTGTAGAGATGAGGTCCAGGCAGGTCTCAAACTCATGGGCGCAGGCAATTCTCTCACCTCGGCCACCCAAAGTGCTGGGATTACAGGCGTGAGCCACTGTGCCCAGCCTCAGATTT